GCAAACTCTGGATCACCACCACAACACGTCACCATCCATCTAACATCACCTGGCACTTCCTTCTTACTACTTCCTTGCCCCATGCTTTTAACAATTGTTTTAAAGTGTTATTACTGCAGATTTTTTTTTTATTTTATTTTTATGTTTACACTTTGGAGTCCCAGACTCCGCACATGCAGCCCCGGAGTTAGAGAGTGGTTGTCCAGCCGGGCATGTTGGGGCCCGGCTGGTCAAGAAGTCGAGCAACCATTTGCACCAGTTGACATTTTTAGATGCAGTCAATAAGTAATGTGAACATATAGCATGAATATTTATTATTTATATAGATTATTTTGGCTGATGCATCCCCTTGACAGAAGCCCTTATAAACACAGTTTAATGCATCAGCCCGTTTGAAATGGCTCCTTTATAGGACACGTGACTTTCTTGAAACGATACGTACACCGACACAGGGTTTTTCTCTATGGGCTTGACTTAGGCGCCGATGCACGTGTGTTGCTGGAGCCATCACTACTAGAAGGATTAAGGTTATGAATTTGACATTAAAGGGTAATGCCAGTTTTTTTACTCACCCATCTGAGTCTTGTGTCATTTGGAGATGTTCCGAAGATAGATACAGGAGGTGAAGTCTTTTTCTGTTAAAATGGAATATAGAGGAAAAGATGTTCAATAAAGAATGCGCTGAAGAGGTTATCACATGGCTTTAAAAAGCTGTTTTTATTTAGCCCTAAAGGGACAGTTTGTTACCCTCCCTTACCTCCAGCACAGGCCCCGTTGGTGCTGTCTGTGTCGGTAGATCTATAAGGAACAGGGGCGGATCTAGAAAAATATTTATGGGGTGGCAAGAGGGGGGCAGGAATTTTTGAGGGGTGGCAACATATGGCATTTGTTTACACTGAATTTAATCACAGTTATCACAGTTTGGTGAGAATAGTATGTACAGTACTAGTGTTTCATGTGAAAGAGTTGATATTAGAAATACATCGTACAATGTGATCTCACTTAATAGGAGATAGAAGAATGATAACACTACTTCTAGAGGGGCATTATGACAGGAAAGGTATTAAGGTAAGACACAGGTGCTGAGTCGCAGATGTGTGAGATTGACTGTCAGAGAGGCAGCTTTGCAGCATTTGACCAAGAAGAAACGATAGAAAGAAAAAGTTACCCATCAGAGATCTATGGACTGAGCTGTACTAAAGTGAGCAGAACTACACAGTAGAAATAAATGGGTCAGGGCACCAAACAAGGTACCAGACATCCATGTATTGTTTACTCTGAACACACATTCACCCCATTTGTTCCTCAGTAACTTGACATACAGCAGTTAAGGCAACATGAAAGGGACATTTCATGCATGTAAATATGCTGTAGATAGAGCTGTATATGGAGCACCAACTCCGCCATATTTAAAAATAAATACAGAAATAAATAAATGCTCAATAAATAAATAAGCATACAATTAAATGCCAACAAAAATACAACCAACAAATAAATGTAATTAGAAATTATATTATAATGGCAGGCAGAAATGTAAACAGGGCAGGCAGAAAGAAATAGCGGCGAAGAAATAACTAGGGTAAAAAAATACAAAGGAAGAATAAAACAGACAAAAATATTATAACATGCACATAAATAAATACTTAAAAATATAAGTAATAAAAAAATGAAGTTGAAGATAATAAATGACAAAACAATAAATAAGGTAAATATTAAAAAGGCAAAAAAATAAAAACAGTTATATACCTTTATGACTGACTGTATAATTTAATTTCTACTTACATTTATTTGTTGTTTGTATTTTTGGTGGCAATTAATTGTATGCTTATTTATTTATTAAGCATTTATTTATTTCTGTATTTATTTTTAAATATGGCAGAGTTGGTCCTCCATACTGCTGTATCAACAAATCAACAAAAAGGCAGGTACTGTATGTTACAAATGTATGTGTTATAATGTGCCTGGGGGCACATAACATATGTTAAATCTCCACAAATCTGAAAAGAAGCAACATAAAAATACATTTTGCTTGTGAGTAGGTTCATACGGGTCATTTCTGTATAGCTTCATACTATATATACAAAAAAGAAACAACAACACTGCTTCATATTAAGCAGGATTCACACCAGTATCACATTTTTAACTTTTAACACTTTTGGTTTTATTAAAGGAAATATCAGATTTTCTCAGGTGCCAAAACAAAATGTAACAGCTCTGTAAAGGCTCACCAGAGAGCATAACATAAAGTTAACATGACTATAACAGCTGAATGCAGTGATTTCCATGTTGCTCAGCAAAACGCTTCACAACTTTATTTAGATCCAATGCCTTTGTGCGTTTTGATTTGAGTTAAACCAAACTTGATCGTCTCTTTTCTGTCATAGTTGACCGCAAATATGTCTTTATGAGCCTGAGACGCCAGGCCTAACTAACATCATAGATAGAGAAATAACGTTCTGCAACCTGATTTTTATCATCTCAAATTCAGCATTGCAGCTATGCTAGCAACATTGTGCTTTCATTATGATTTCATTTCTCGATAGATAGTTAAAGGAGAAGTTCGGTTTTTTACACTTTAAGCCCATTTTCTGTAGTGTCCAGGATGCAATCGAATGATCGACACCAAAAGTTTGACGATTGCTCCTGTCTCTGCTTTTTGGCTCATTTAGAATCCCCCCCTGGCTGCTTTAGAATGGCTTGCATAGAGCATGTCCGATAATGTCCTTAAAACAACCTTAAACGTAAGCCCATATTCCGCTGCCACCGGAAACGGAAATGGGGCCTGTTTACACAGTTGTAGTCTTTTCGCTTCACTCTGTGTACTCCGACGTCGAGAATCAAGAATCCACCTTTCGTATTCCATTTTCAGAGTTTTTTAAAGTGTTTAACAGAGACGTTAGCACCTCGACGTCGGAGTACACAGAGTGAAGCGAAAAGACTACAACTGTGTAAACAGGCCCCATTTCCTTTTCCGGTGGCAGGGGAATATTGACTATTCCTACAGAACTCAATGGGATTTACAAAATGCTAAATAAAACACTACAGGAACGTTTTTTCTTCACGAAACTTTTTTTGGAACGTCATTGAACAGCGCTGACGACCCGGTGAGTAGCATATTTAAAAAAAAGAACGTTTAAGGTTGTTTTAAGGACATTATCGGACATGCTCTATGCAAGCCATTCTAAAGCAGCCAGGGGTTGATTCTAAATGAGCCAAAAAGCAGAGACAGGACCAATTGTCAAACTTTTGGTGTCGATCATTCGATTTCATCATGGACACTACAGAAAATGGGCTTAAAGTGTAAAAAACCGAACTTCTCCTTTAATCAGTTTCTACCTGTTTCATCCCGTGTCTCCTCTCCCCATGACCCCTGGCTCCCTCGCTTTGCCCCATTCGGTTTTCAAAACAATCAGTCTCAGTCGCTCCCGCGTCATCTCGTACTGCATTCACTGCAGTCCGACATTGGAAATTAGCGGTCGTAATTCTCAAATGATCCATAATTTATAAGCCTCGCCACCCCTACCGCCAACTGGGGTGGCAGCTGGGGTGGCAAGGCTGTCATTTAGGGTGGCAGTTGCCACCCTATGCCACCCCAGTAGATCCGCCTATGATAAGGAAGTACCACCTAATGGATGAACCAAAGTGATAAACTTTTTTTCTCCATTTTACTTTCAAACCTGCTATTCCTACCACGTCTGTATAAGTATTGACAGGATGTGTAACAAAAAAAGTGAACGCAACAAAGTTTTTGCACCAGATGCCCTTCTTGACATAATGTGGATTTTATCCTGAATCCTCTTGATTAAAGTCAAAGGCTTAAACCCCTACACACGCAGACAAAAAAGTAACATGAATCCATCACTTCTCATGTCTTACATTTCAGCTTCCACCGTTAATGTTTAGGTTCATATTTAATTTGATAAAAAGGAGAAGTGATGGTGTGTTCAGACCAGAGGCATTAGCAGCTGGGACAGTGGTGGATTCACATAGGGCTCCTATTTAAACCGTGCAGTGAAGAGCGATGAAGAGGCCAGGGGTAAACTCCATGCGGTGAGGGTGTTCAACAGCAGTCCGTGATGTTAAGTTTTTCCTGCCCTTTTATTGTGAAATAACTACAATGAGTCCTTGACTTAAAATTACATTCGGTTGCCATGGGTAGCAGTAGGTCCTAAGCAGAGGGTTTGGGATACTGATGATTTATAACTTATTAAACAGCCTTTCCAGCCACTTAATAAGGTAAATATGCCTACTTTTATATTCAATGCCAGCACAGGAATGAGATGCGATGTTATGCAATAACTCTATATCAGGAAACGAGCGCAGTATTAATGTCTGCTGAGATGGCGACGTCATCAGCCATAATTTAAAATAATGCTATCTTAAAAACCAAATCAGCACAAACGAAAAATTTACCTGCAGAAATTAAGCAGCACTGAAAAAGTAGGCTGGGTAATTTTTATTCATTTCGGAGCTTAACAAGGGGGTAGTTGACCTAAAAAAAAAACAATCTTTAATATCTCTGAAAGAAACAGCAGCACATATTATATTTTTTATTATTATATTTATTTGTGTATTAATTTATTTTTCTTTTTTACAAATTACCATTTTAAATGCAAAAACCTGCACCCAAGAAGCAGTAACTGGGTATGCAGGTGGAGCAGTGGTCAGCGCGGGCGACCCGGGTTTGAATCCGGCCTGTGATTTTTTCCCGCATGTCTCTCCTCCTATCTCATACCCCCTTTCCTATAAGTCTACTGTCGAAAAAACGAGCCACTAGTGCTGTAGAAAAAAAGAAGCAGTAACCATTCTATTTGCTGAGTTCTTTTCATGTCAGTGGGGTGTCAGCTTCACACAGCTGAAGCTCCTCCCATTTGATGCGGTCCAGGGTGTAAACACTGCATCTGAAATGCAGAGAATTGAACTACCTGCGGGGCTCGCGGAAATCATCGCGGTCTGAACGCACCTTAAGAGTCTTTATCAGTGTTTATCATTGTTTACAGGACAAACAGAAGTTTGGAGTCATGGCTTCTGCATCAGAATCACAGTCTGCCTCGGATTATTTGACGGAAGCCAGAGATTGCCTTGTTGGGAAATTAAGGAATCACTCAGTAATTCTAGAGAACTTGCTTCAACAAAAATTTCTCCATGATGAAGAGGTCAGCGAGATAGAGGCAGAGAAAAAACCCTTTGAGAAAGACAGAAATATACTGGACTCAGTCATTAGAAAGGGTGAACGAGCCTGCTACCACTTACTGTGGATTATTTACATGATAAGCAAGAGGACCAAAAAGAAACCAGCTTCTCTCTTGAAGAACCATGATGGAGCTGAGGCTAAAAAGTTTGACCTGGATCACTGGATCAGCTGCTTTCCTTTCAAAGAAGATGCAGAAATGGATACAAACTTCTTGCAAGGTATATAACTAACATCTATTTTACTGACAATTACTTTTTCTTTTTTTTTAGTTTAGTGCATGTGTTTAATATTATTGCTGCATTATGTCATATATTTTTTTTTCAATTTGTAATTGAGGTACAAGGAAGTAAATTTCATTTTGTTGTTATTTTGATCTTAGGATCCAGTTCCTGCTACAGATATCAAGAAAAGTTGAAGTCAAAAGCAAAAGAAAAATCTAAACATTTTTGGGAAGGAGGTAAAAGGCTTTTTAAAGAAGATAAAAAGCCTGAGCTATCATTTATTCCACTGGTGCTAGATACAGAAGCTCCCCCGTCCAAAATAACGACATCTAAAAACATGAAGAGCAAATTAAGTCGTCCTGACAAGTTAAGGACTTACATTCCCAGGGATAAACCAAAGATATCCCCCAGTGACCTGCTGGAAACTGGTGAAAGGTTCCTCTTGGTTGGCAAACCTGGAATTGGAAATACGGCTCTGTGCCATGAAATACTAAGACTGTGGTCAGAGAGAGATGACAAGAGGCTGGATTACATGTTTTACTTTGATATGAGGGAAAACAACGTCCCACTAATCAGATCAGAGGATCTTCTTCAGTACATTGAACCAGATGAGGGCAAAGATGAGATCTTAGAGGATATGAGGAGCTTCTCGAATCTTGTCACAGTCATTTTAGATGGAGTCACTGATATTTCTTCTGTGATAAAAAAACTGGTAGAAAAAGATCTGCTGTCTGATGCAAAAATCATCATCACCTGCAGACCAGATGATGAGGAAGATCTCTGTCTAGAAGACTGGCTCAGAGTGGAGGTGAAAGGCTTCAGTGAAGGAGCAATAAAAACATATCTGTCTAAAGCACTGGGTGACGATCATCAGGAGGTTCTGAGTAACGTGGAGCTGGTCACTCTTTCTTATGTTCCAATGTATGCTCTGATGGTGGCCGCCACCGTTTCATCAGGTGACTCACAGCAGCCCAGAACTGTCACTGAAATATACATCAATATTGTTCGGTTTACACTCAAGATTAACGGCAACATAAAGTGGAAGGATCTCAATAAGTTCATCAGAACCAAGAGAGATGAAATCATGTCTCTGGCTGAAGCTGCTTTTTATGCAACTCAAAGTAAAACTGTGAACCTGAAAGAACTTTCCTGTGAGGACAGCTGTGTCCTTTCCTTCCTGAACTCACTTGATGAAAAAGTCGCTCCTACTGAAACCATAACTGTCCACACTTTCCTCCATTACATCATGCAGGAGTTCTTTGCTGCTTTGTGGCCTTTAAAGGATCCAGAGAAGATCAGGAAGGTTTTTCAGAAGAGCCTCACTGATGAGATGAAACACATGAAACATCTGATCCCCTTCATGTGTCGCTTGTTGAATGACACAAATCCACGTTTGATGAGCTGTCTGATTCCAGATTTGGAGCTGATGGAAACATCTGATTGGTTCCTCAAAGAGATGATCGACACGTTTTGCAGCGAGCCCAACGTTGACAGACTGTTCCAGTACCGATGTCTGTACGAGTCCCAGAGCGTTAAAAAGTGCAAATACTTTCTAAACAAACTGGACTTCCATCTGGACCTCAGTGGAGAGAACCTGGACCCGTATTCCTGCCAAGCTGTGGCCTTTATTGTCACTCAGTCAAAGGAAAAAAAAATAAACCTGAACCTTCAGGATGTAACCGTAGCAGACCAAGGAGTGAGACGACTGTTTGGATGCCTTCAGCATTTTCAAATGTATGGGGACATATATTATTAGGATCTGCTAATGCTCACAATCACATATATTGTTAAACTATTCAAAAGATGCTGCTCAAACAGTTGAGATTTTTCTGTATTTCAGAGATGACCATCTTCGAAAGCAGCTCTGGATGATTTTCCTACTCTATGAAGGACCGATGGATGACCTAAATAACAAGGCAAATATTAATTAATCATTTTGCTGGAAAGTTTCCTGACCACAGATGTTTGCTTTTTCTATAAAATCTGCTGCTACTTCTTCACAGATGGACTTTAAAGTTCTGCTGCGCCTTGATGGTAACCAGCTACATCTTCCAGTTGGGGGTACAGAACACCTTTTTGAAAGAGCTCTGATGCTCATCAAGGGGGCAAAGCCTAAGGTGGAGGTCTGGTTGTATTGGCGCAGTGGAGATCAAGGCTTGATTCAACATGAATACCTGTTGGAGGCTTTGTCACACATCAGCTTAATCCGGTGAGTCAGAACAATTCATGCTATTTTTAATCTGGCTTTAAGGGTAAAGTTCTTACTATTCTGTACTCATTTTATAGATTAAAAAATGTAGTTGAATGTAGTAGTTGATAAATGTGGGTTTATAGTTATTATATGATCTCACAGAGTAACTCAGAACTGTGTTATTGAAGTTGATCGTAGGGCTGGGCGGTAATTCAATAACGATATATATCGATCGACAGACGTGTGGCGCAATAGAAAAAAATAAGCTTGATAAAAGTTCAATAAAGAAAGGCATTTTTCCTTCCTTCTCATTGTAGCCTAGCATGTAGGTTTATGCTAGTCACTAGTCACTACTTCCTCCCAACCAATCGCAATCGCGGACCCAGGCACGCCGTCACAAAGCGCCGCCCTCTCAAACCATAACACAGAGCACATGAAGATGTCGCAGCAAGGAGAGGCGGAGGAAATTGTTCCAAAGAAAGGTTTTTGTAGTTCGCCAGTTTGGCAGTATTTCGGTCATGGCAAGTCGGACAAAAAACAAACCACAGTCATCTGTAAAATGTGTCGGGAACCAGTGAAAACCAAGTCTGATAACACAACCAAATATTTTTTTTTTTTATCATCTCAGCCGCTCACACCCGCAGGAGTACGAGCTGCTCTCCTTCGAGGAATCTTCGGGGAAAAATAAAAAAAAAAAATAAAAAAAAAAAAAAAATATATATATATATATATATATATATATATATATATATATATATATATATATATACACTATATTGCCAAAAGTATTTGCTCACCCATCCAAATTATTGGAATCAGGTGTTCCAATCACTTCCATGGCCACAGGTGTATAAATTCAAGCACCTAGGCATGCAGACTGTTTTTACAAACATTTGTGAAAGAATGGGTCGCTCTCAGGAGCTCAGTGAATTCCAGCGTGGAACTGTGATAGGATGCCACCTGTGCAACAAATCCAGTCGTGAAATTTCCTCGCTCCTAAATATTCCACAGTCAACTGTCAGCTGTATTATAAGAAAATGGAAGTGTTTGGGAACGACAGCAACTCAGCCACGAAGAGGTAGGCCACGTAAACTGACGGAGCGGGGTCAGCGGATGCTGACGCGTATAGTGCGAAGAGGTCGCCAACTTTCTGCAGAGTCAATCACTACAGACCTCCAAACTTCATGTGGCCTTCAGATTAGCTCAAGAACAGTGCGCAGAGAGCTTCATGGAATGGGTTTCCATGGTCGAGCAGCTGCATCCAAGCCATACATCACCAAGTGCAATGCAAAGCGTCGGATGCGGTGGTGTAAAGCACGCCGCCACTGGACTCTAGAGCAGTGGAGACGCGTTCTCTGGAGTGACGAATCGCGCTTCTCCATCTGGCAATCTGATGGACGGGTCTGGGTTTGGCGGTTGCCAGGAGAACGGTACTTGTCTGACTGCATTGTGCCAAGTGTAAAGTTTGGTGGAGGGGGGATTATGGTGTGAGGTTGTTTTTCAGGAGCTGGGCTTGGCCCCTTAGTTCCAGTGAAAGGAACTCTGAATGCTTCAGCATACCAAGACATTTTGGACAATTCCATGCTCCCAACTTTGTGGGAACAGTTTGGAGCTGGCCCCTTCCTCTTCCAACATGACTGTGCACCAGTGCACAAAGCAAGGTCCATAAAGACATGGATGACAGAGTCTGGTGTGGATGAACTTGACTGGCCTGCACAGAGTCCTGACCTCAACCCGATAGAACACCTTTGGGATGAATTAGAGCGGAGACTGAGAGCCAGGCCTTCTCGTCCAACATCAGTGTGCGACCTCACAAATGCGCTTCTGGAAGAATGGTCAAAAATTCCCATAAACACACTCCTAAACCTTGTGGACAGCCTTCCCAGAAGAGTTGAAGCTGTTCTAGCTGCAAAGGGTGGACCGACGTCATATTGAACCCTATGGATTAGGAACGGGATGTCACTTAAGCTCATATGTGAGTCAAGGCAGGTGAGCAAATACTTTTGGCAATATAGTGTATATATATATATATATATATATATATATATATATATATATATATATATATATATATATATATATATATATATAAAATATATAGGGGTGGAACGTTTCACAAAATCCACGGTTCGGTTCGATTCACGGTTTCTGGTCACGGTTTTCGGTTCGATTCGGTACATGTTAATTGTTACACTGAAATCCCATAAAAATTTATGAAGTTAATGAAAAAATCCCCCCAAAAATAATGGATTGTAATTATTTTAAATGATCCGCGGAAACCCTGGATCATTTCCGTATGTTTTGCTGCTTTGAATTTAATCATCTCGCGCATGCTCTCTACCATCTCCAAGGGACTCAGAGGGGAGCGGACGGGAGCCACAGTGGAGGCTGTAGGCTTTGCTTTGTGCAGCCGGTCTGGTGCGCAGCGGGGCGGAGCGCTGACGGAGTATGTGGGATTTCGGGGTTAGCATGACATGTTGGTCATGTTGCTGTTAGCATAAACAAAACGTGTTGCACAATGCTTGCACACTATTACACTTTTATCCCCAACTTTCTTTCCGCCGTCATCGTAGGTCACTCTAAATGCAAAGTGGTCCCATACAGCAGACCTATAAAGTGCTGCTGGCGCGTCTTCAAACTCCTGTTCTTTCCCACTCGCCATACCCACACAATTCTCCACACCAACTTATTTTTTTTCCCCTGCTACACCCGGCTACGCTGCTTTGCTTTCTTCTTCTTCTTGTTTACTACTGGTGGTTGGCTTTGGTCGCAGTACCGCCACCTTCTGCTCTGGAGTGTAAACGCTTCGCCTATGAGAAAAAGGAGCAGCGCATGAACCGAACGCAACACACGCGAACCGAACGGTTCGGACGGTTTTCATAAATCGTCCCATCCCTAATAAATATATATATATATATATATATATATATATAGATATATATATAGATATATATATAGATATATATATAGATATATATATAGATATATATATAGATATATAGATATATATAGATATAGAGATATATCTCCCAGAACAAGAACCAGTAACCATTACAACGGCAGATGTTCAAGAAAGAGCCGCAGGTATGAAGAGCTGGACAGCACCAGGCCCTGACATGATCCACACCTACTGGCTGAAAAAACTAACCGCACTTCATGCACGCCTCGCAGCACAAATGAACCAACTGCTGATGGATGGGACCCACCCAGAATAGTTAACCCAAGGACGGACAATCCTGATCATGAAGGATCCCCAGAAGGGAACAACCCCATCCAACTACCGGCCAATAACTTGCCTATGTACAACATGGAAGCTCCTGTCAGGCATCATAGCGGCTAAGATGAATAGGCACATGGCTCAATACATGCACCCTGCCCAGAAGGGAATAGGAAGCAACACCAGAGGAGCCAAGCACCAGCTACTAGTGGATAGAGCAGTCACCCGAGACTGTAAGACCAGGCAGACAAATCTGTGCACTGCCTGGATTGACTATAAGAAAGCCTATGACTCAATGCCACATACATGGATACTGGAATGCCTGGAAATGTACAAGATCAACAGGACTCTAATAGCCTTCATCAAGAACTCAATGAAGCTGTGGAAAACAAGTCTGGAAGCCAATGCAAAGCCAATAGCACAAGTCACCATCAAGTGCGGCATATACCAGGACGATACACTATCCCCGCTGCTGTTCTGTACAGGCCTGAACCCCCTCAGCCAGATCATCACAAAGACTGGCTACGGATACCAATTCCGAAGCGGAACAATCATCAGTCACCTCCTCTACATGGATGACATCAAGCTGTATGCCAGGAGTGAGGGAGACATCGACTCACTGATCCACACTACCAGGATCTACAGCAACGACATTGGGATGTCATTCGGACTGGACAAGTGCGGTCGCATGGTCTCAAAGAGAGGGAAGATGATCAGAACCGAGGGGGTTGAACTACCAGAAGGCCACATAACAGATGTTCAGGACAGCTACAAATACCTTGGGGTGCCACAGGCTAACGGAAACCACGAGGAGATGGCAAGAAAGACTGCCATAGCTAAATACCTACAAAGAGTAAGGCAGGTCCTGAAAAGTCAGCTGAATGGGAAAAACAAGATCCAAGCCATCAACACATATGCCCTACCAGTCATCAGATACCCCGCTGGTATAATAAACTGGCCAAAGGAGGAGATAGAGGCTACTGACATCAAGACGAGAAAGCTCCTCACAATGCATGGAGGGTTCCACCCCAAATCCAGCACTCTGAGACTGTACACCAAGCGTAGCGAGGGAGGCCGAGGGCTAGTGAGTGTCAAGACCACTGTCCAGGATGAAACAACTAAGATCCAGGAGTACATCAGAAAGATGGCCCCCAAAGACAAATGGCTTGGTGAGTACCTCAGGCAGGAGAAAACCGAAAGTGAGGACAAGAAAGAAGAAGGAGAACCATCATGGAGGGACAAGCCGCTGCACGGCGTATACCACAGACAAATAGAAGAAGTGGCTGATATCAAAAAATCCTACCAGTGGCTGGAAAAGGCTGGACTGAAGGACAGCACAGAGGCACTAATCATGGCAGCACAAGAACAGGCACTCAGTACAAGATCAATAGAGGCCAGGGTCTACCACACCAGGCAGGACCCCCGATGCAGACTGTGCAAAGATGCCTCTGAAACAATACAGCACATAACAGCAGGGTGTAAAATGCAGGCAGGAAGTGCATACATGGAACGCCACAACCAGGTAGCTGTCATAGTGTACAGGAACATCTGCCATGAGTATGGGCTGGAAGTCCAAAGGTCAAAATGGAAGACACCTCCTAAGGTAGTTGAGAATGACCGAGCTAAGATCCTATGGGACTTCAAGATCCAGACTGACAAACAGGTGATGGCTAACCAACCAGACATCGTGTTGATCGACAAACAGCAGAAGAAGGCAGTAGTGATAGATGTGGCAATCCCAAGCGACAGCAACATCAAGAAGAAAGAACACGAGAAGCTTGAGAAATACCAAGGACTGAAGGAGGAGCTAGAAAAGATGTGGAAAGTAAGAGCAGCAGTGGTGCCAGTGGTAATTGGAGCACTGGGGGCTGTGACCCCCAAACTGGGAGAGTGGCTACAGCAGATTCCAGGTAAAACATCAGAGGTCTCTGTCCAGAGGAGCGCAGTCCTAGGAACAGCTAAGATACTGCGCAGAACCCTCAAACTCCCAGGCCTCTGGTAGAGGACCCGAGCTTGAGGATGACACATACCACCCCATGAGGGATGAGAAAACAGTTTTTTATATATATATATATATATATATATATATATATATATATATATATATATATATATATATATATATATATATATATATATATATATATATTCAGTTCTGGGCTGTTTTCCACGTACTTCTAACAATTGAGAGAAAAATGCTGAGGGGCCAGAAACTTCAAATTAATAGCTCAGGTTAAAGCAGGAAGCGAAGCTAAACCATAACATGGTGCCAGCAGCACCTCTAGAAGAATAGGGGTGAGAAAAAATACCCCATAGAAATGCTAGGCTAAAGGGTGAGTTGATTTGGGTTTTTGTTGAGTGGAGTTTACATAGTAGTCTAGTCCTACAATATTTTAATTACCACAAGCTGGTGGTGTACTATTACCACCCAAATAGGGTATTCTATTTATTTATTTGTTATATTTATTTTGGTCACTTTTCTGGTCACTTTAGTTTATTCTTTGTCAGTATTTAATAACAACTCAGGTCTTTTAAGTTATTTTTCTTTAAAACAATTGTTATGGTTAAAAAAGTTTGTTAAATAAATATTTAATTGGAAGTCTGTGTTTGTGTTCTTTATTAAAATTAAATCATTTAGCAATATTATAAAAAGTCCAGGCAGAGCTGCACATAAAGTATGGTTTCAAATCTTTTCAATAATTATCGATATAGATCAATATGCATTTTTTTTTATCAATAAGCTTTTTTTCTATATCGCCCAGCCCTAGTTGATCGTGAAGCTTTATTACTGGCTGGTGAAATACTGGCTCCTTTATGAGTTGGAGGTATTGCAATGATCTATTTTATTTTAAAGTGTTTACTCATATGACTTCAGTTACTGCATGATGTGTCTTAAAATGTGTGTTAAATCTGTGATAAATATTTCTTTCTCATTTGTTCAGCTTTCACAGGCCACAATTGCAAGAACAAGCAGAGTTCTTTGTGAATCTGTTCTGTGCCGCTGCAGAGAGAGAAAAGCAGACAGGAAAGAAGATTCTGGACCTCTTGAAACCAGTTTGGAAATATAAAACATTGCCTTCAAATCACCTAAACAGGAATAAATATCAGAGTGACTTCCTGCTGGATCTTTACTCCCAGATGAAGGACAGTGAGACTAAAACAGGTCTGAGTCTCCTTCCATCATTTCAGTCAGTTTTCCAGTCAGCTCCTCCATTCTGGAGCATAGACCTCTCAAAGAGAAAGACCTCCATCCTCCTGGAAGTGTTGAAGCTCCAGTCAGAGAAAAAAAGCCTGGTGCTGACAGGCTGCTCGCATGAAGAGAGCGAAGTGCAGAGTTTTTTAGATTGTCTGCCTCATATTGACGAGTTTAGGTAAATTTTCTTATACATTTCCGTTTTGTTGTTTCAGTCAATACATATTTCTTTACACAGAAAAGAATCTTGAAACAAATTGTGACATTTGTAACGTTTTTTATTGCTTTTTCTTCAGTTTTGTTTCCAATGGAGCCGACGAATCAAAACAAACCCGCTTCATAGTGAATCTGTTCTATGAAGCAGCAAAGAGAGAACAGCTGACAGGAAAGAAGGTGGTGAAGCCATTAGCATCAGTCTGCTCATATACATTTCCTGTAAATGAAGAAGACACATTTTATTATTATGACAAGGAGAAGCATGTGGATGCTCTGCATCAGTGTCAATTCCTGCTGGATCTGTACTCCCTGGTAAAGGACCATAAGACTAAAACAGGTCTGAGTCTCCTTCCATCATTACAGTCAGTTTTCCAGTCAGCTCCTCCAGTCTGGACCATAAAGCTCTCAGAGAGAAATACCTCCATCCTACTGGAAGTGTTGAAATTAAAAAGAAAACCAGTGAAGCTGACAGACTGCTCACATGGAGAGAGTGAAGTGAGGAGTTTCCTACAGTGTCTGCCTTATATCCCACAGCTCAGGTACAGTATCTACAGGTGCTGGTCATAAAATTAGAATATCATGAAAAAGTAGATTGATTTCAGTAATTCCATTTAAAAAGTGAAACTTGTATATTATATTCATACATTACATACAAACTCATATATTTCAGATGTTTATTTTGTTTAATTTTGATGATTACAAATGACAACAAATGAAAATCTCAAATTCATCATATCAGAAAATTAGAATATTACTGAAGACCAATAAAAACAAAGGATTTATAGAAATGTTGGCCAACTGAAAAGTATGAACATGAAAAGTATGAGCATGTACAGCACTCAGTATTTAGTTGGGCCTCCTTTGGCCTGTATTACTGCAGCAATGCGGCGTGGCATGGAGTCGATCAGTCTGTGGCACTGCTCAGGTGTTATGATAGCCCAGGTTGCTCTAATAGTGGCTTTTAGCTCTTCTGAATTGTTGGGTCTGGTGTATTGCATCTTCTTCTTCACAATACCCCATAGATTTTCTATGGGGTTAAGGTCAGGAGAGTTTGCTGGCCAATTAAGAACAGGGATACCATGGTCCTTCAACCAGGTACTGGTAGCTTTGGCACCGTGTGCAGGTGCCAAGTCCTGTTGGAAAATGAAATCTGCATCTCTAAAAAGTTGGTCAGCTGCAGGAAGCATGAAGTGCTCTAAAACTTCCTGGTATGTGGCTGCGTTGACCCTGGACCTCAGAAAACACAATGGACCAACACCAGCAGATGACATGGCACCCCAAACCATCACTGACTGTGGAAACTTTACACTGGACTTCAAGCAACGTGGATGAAGTGCCTCTCTTCTTTTCCTCCAGACTCTGGGACCTTGATTTCCAAAGGAAATGCAAAATTTACTTTCATCAGAGAACATGACTTTGGACCACTCACCAGCAGTCCAGTCCTGTTTCTCTTTAGCCCAGGCAAGACGCTTCTGACGCTGTCTGTGGTTCAAGAGTGGCTTGACACAAGGAATGCGACAGCAGAAACCCATGTCTTTCATACGTCTGTGTGTGGTGGTTCTTGAAGCACTCACTCCAGCTGCAGTCCACTCTTTGTGAATCTCCCCCACATTTTTGAAGGGGTTTTGTTTCACAATCCTCTCCAGGGTGCGGTTATCTCTCTTGCTTGTACACTTTTTTCGACCACATCTTTTCCTTCCCTTCGCCTCTCTATTAATGTGCTTGGACACTGAGCTCTGTGAACAGCCAGCCTCTTTAGCGATGACCTTTTGTGTCTTGCCCTCCTTGTGCAAGGTGTCGATGGTCGTCTTTTGGACAACTGTCAAGTCAGCAGTCTTCCCCATGATTGTGTAGCCTATAGAACTAGACTGAAAGACCATTTAAAGGCTTTTGCAGGTGGTTTGAGTTAATTAGCTGATTAGAGCGTGGCACCAGGGGCCATCAATTTTGAACCTTTTCACAATATTCTAATTTTCTGATATGATGAATTTGAGATTTTCATTTGTTGTCATTTGTAATCATCAAAATTAAACAAAATAAACATCTGAAATATATGAGTTTGTATGTAATGTATGAATATAATATACAAGTTTCACTTTTTAAATGGAATTACTGAAATCAATCTACTTTTTCATGATATTCTAATTTTATGACCAGCACCTGTATTTTTGTCGATTCTGTTTTGTTGTAAATGTTGTCAGTGTTTCTTTACAGACAAGAAAGGCTCCAAAGAAAATCAAATTCTGAATTGTCCCTTTATTTATTTGACATTTTTTCAGGTTTGGGTTACAGGCACCTAACAATTCAGAACAAATCAGGTTCTTGGTAAATCTGTTTGGTGCAGCAGCAGAAAAGGAACAACAGACAGGAGAGAAAATGCTGGAGCTGCTAGCATCGGCCTGCAGATATAAAACCTTCCCTTTGGGGGAAAAAAAAATGTATGCCAAATATCAGACTGACTTCCTGCTGGATCTTTACTCCCAGATGAAGGACAGTGAGACTAAAACAGGTCTGAGTCTCCTTCCATCATTACAGTCAGTTTTCCAGTCAGCTCCTCCAGTCTGGACCATAAAGCTCTCAGAGAGAAAGACCTCCATCCTCCTGGAAGTGTTGAAGCTCCAATCAGAGAAGAAACCAGTGAAGCTGACAGACTGCTCACATGGAGAGAGTGAAGTGAGGAGTTTCCTACAGTGTCTGCCTTATATCTCACAGCTCAGGTACAGTATCTGTTTATTTATTTTTTTAATCAGTTTAAATTTGTGAACACACAAGGTTTTAAACAAAGTTAAATGATGCATTCTTTTTCTTTTTTTATTATTTAATTTGCAGTTTTGGGTTCCTGGCATCTAAAGATTTAGCAGTGCTGTTCTTTGAAGCAGCAAAGACAGAACAGCAACCAGGAGAGAATATGCTGAAGCTGTTAGCGTCAGTCTGTAGTTATACAACATTCCCCTTAGGAGAAAGTACATTGAATGACTACTATCAGAGTGTCCTCCTGCTGGATCTTTACTCCCAGCTGAACGACCATGAGACTGAAACGGGTCTGAGTCTCCTTCCTTCATTACAGTCAGTTTTCCAGTCAGCTCCTCCAGTCTGGACCATAAAGCTCTCAGAGAGAAAGACCTCCATCCTCCTGGAAGTGTTGAAGCTCCAATCAGAGAAGAAACTAGTGAAGCTGACAGACTGCTCACATGGAGAGAGTGAAGTGAGGAGTTTCCTACAGTGTCTGCCTTATATCTCACAGCTCAGGTACAGTATCGGTTTAGTGTGTTCTGTTTTGTCCAAGCTATTTTTACTGATCAATTTTGAACTGATGAGGTTTAAAAAAAAAATAATTGCCACATTTTCACCTTTTTAATTTTTGCAGAATTTGGTTCCAGACTTCCAACAATTCAACACAAACAAACTTCTTAGTGAATCTACTCTGTGCAGCAGCAGAGAGAGATGAGCTGAGAGGAGAGAAGACGGTGGAGCTGGTAGCATCAGGCTTGGGATATGAAAGATTTTCTTTAAAAAGGAATCATTCATATCTACAAACTATTGAAAGATTCCATTTAAAAGAAAAAGAGGATGAATATCGTCTAGTCTTACTATTGCATCTGTACTCCCAGATGAAAGAACATGAGACTGAAACAGGTCTGAGTCTCCTTCCATCATTACAGTCAGTTTTCCAGTCAGCTCCTCCAGTCTGGACCATAAAGCTCTCAGAGAGAAAGACCTCCATCCTCCTGGAAGTGTTGAAGCTCCAATCAGAGAAGAAACCAGTGAAGCTGACAGGCTGCTCACATGGAGAGAGTGAAGTGTGGAGTTTCCTACAGTGTCTGCCTTATATCTCACAGCTCAGGTACAGACGTTCTTAGTAATGTTAGAAAAAAGAAAACTAAACTGGGAAAAAAGTTATTTGCTTTGACCATCTTTTTTTTTATTGTTAAATCTTAATAGGTTATATAGTGTGTATTATTGATACAGACTTCATGTAGACAAACATGTACTTATGAGAGAAAGAACAACATGCGTTTGGCCAACTAAAGCTGAAAATGCATAATTTTTTTGTTTTTAGGTATTTAAAAATACAGCCTACATGCTGATTTCAACCACTGCATGAAAAGTGAGATTTTCGTCCCCGTAAACTCAAGCAGATCTCCCTGATTTTCGTCAGTTAAAGACAATTTGCAACCCGCGCTTGTCGCTGTTTGTCAGTGCCACAAATTGTCGGAAACGGACTCTGACGTATGTGGAGAGCGATTAGCTGTACTAAAGGCCCTAATTAGCATATGAATGCAGCAAACCCGCGCGGCTGGCCAGGTCTGGCTTGAATAACCTACTCAGTATTGGCTGAAACCACTATTCTCAAACAAATGAAATCGCTCGTGATTGGCAGCAAAACCACACGTGGCCACGCCAGGCTTTAATTTTCTTACTGAGTATTGGACGGAACCACTTCTTTTTAAACAAGTAAAATCGCTCGTGATTGGTTGGCATATATATATATATATATATATATATATATTTATTTATTTATTTATTTATGCATATATTTATTTATTCATATACTGTATATTTATGTTATACTACACTATTATTAGGCTACCATCAAGGACATGAATGAATTTATACAGGAAATGAACATTTGCCAGGAAGATGTTTATGCAAAGAAAGAGCTTTATTAAAACATACACAACTATATACAACGCGAGGATCTGCCCACACATGCGTATCCAAAAATTACAACTCCGTGAACTGTCCGTTTGCCTCCTCGGGGTTGGAGGTAACTGGCAGCATTCCCTCCGAGGCAGGTCCGATGTGCAGACGCCTACTGTGCGTGGCCCTGTACTTCGGCATCGCTCCTAACCGGGACTGCAGATTAACAAGGGAGTTCAGAGAGATCCGGCCTACGAAATGGCGGCGGCCGTACAATCCATCCAGAGACACCGCCAACTACGCCATCTTCTTCGTCAGACATGAGGTCGACGGTGGCGGACTTCCAGAGTTCCACTTCCTCATCAGCTAGCACACTCTGCCTCGATTCCAGCAGCTGTAAAAAACAATGAATCAGCACTATGCGATGGGATGCACTGCGTATGGACACAACACATCTATCAATGCACCTGAAAAATAGTCACCAAATAAAGTCTTACCCTCTTTCTTCTAGCCCGACTCCGAGCTGAATGCTTGGCAGCTTCCGCACACAACGTGTTCGCTGGCAGCGTATATCTGAAGCTCCTGCGTACCGTCTCATAATACGTCTTACAGGCAGCTGGAAAACAATTAAATGAGAGTGGTATGAATAAAAAAATCAAACGCAAGTCACAGTAACAAGGAAGGAGAAAACAATAAAACAAGTCACTTACACACAATGTCGTCTTTATCAACATCGTGCAAATCTGGACTTGCTGATATGGCTCCGAGCAAATTCAAAGTAATTCAAACATCAATCAAAGATACACAGCAGTTGGTGACATTATGACTTTAAAGAAAATGAGACATAGAATGTAAAAAATAAATAAAAATAAAACAAGGGTAACAAACATATAAATAAATAAACAAATAGATAAAATAAACATCAAATAATAATAGCTAGGGGTTTACATTGAGTTTATGGTCATTTACAAAAGTGTATAATTTTATACCATTTTTCTTCTTCATAAATTTAAGTGACTGAAAATACAAATAAAGTTATTTAAGAAAAACGTTGAAGTTTGGCTTGGTCCTCATGTATTTGTTTTTGTGAATGTAAAATTTCCCCATCATGAGTAAAACATTAAAGGCTAGGTCCTGCAGGTTATCTTTCATTTCTAGTCCAAACAAAACATTCTCTTTGTCCAGATGAGAAGGAGAATCAAATTTAGATGATCACCAGAAGCAGAAATCTTCCCAGAAAACTTTCATGTACATACAATCGTAAAAGAGGTGACCAACAGTCTCAGTTTCACATTCACAGAAGGTGCAATAATTTTCTTCAAAAACCAAAATGGAGCCTCAGAAATTCCTTGGAAGGATAAATGTCAGTGATTATTTTGAAACGGACTTCTTTAACCTTTGGAGCAACAGGAAACTAGATATGTATTCCGCAGTTTTCCCACTTTCTCTTTTGGAAAATGCTTGGAGATTAGGTTTCTGTGGGATGTATCGGCATGAAATTCCTTGACAAACAAACTACGTCTGACATTGTTGGTCAGATTTTTATCAATAACAGACTGACCATTGAGTAACAGAGAGGGAAGTTTTACCTGGACATGGTTTAGGAGTAGGTTGTATGACATTATGATCAGAGGCTGAGGAAGGGCTTTGATTAATATATTATATTGTTTTCTAATATTTATTTTGAATTTAGAGCAAAGAGTTTCAAAAGGTAAAAAAATCCCTTTGTCATCAAGAATGTGCATTATCGGTCATATACCACTTTCTAGCCAGCTCTTGTAAAATAAAGACTTGTTCCTGAATAGGACATATCGGGAGTTCCATAGTGGGGTGTTATGAGGACTAAAATTATGCTTAAATATTAGTTTTCAATAAAGTAAGACGCGTTGATGAAAAGAAGAAAGTTTAACAGGAAGTTTCTTAGGATCAAAATCACATTTAAGAAGGAAGTTAATTCCTCCTAATTCTATAAATAATTTGGAGGGGATATGACACCAAAAACTATTTTCACTTTTCAGAAAAGATTTGAGCCAATTCATTTTAATCATTCCGTCTAAACATTCAAAGTCTATTGCTTTAAGACCTCCATCATTATACTCTTTAACCATTGCGCCTTTCCTAATGTAGTGTGTCTTGTTTTTCCAGATAAAGTTGAAGTTAATTTGATTTATGGCTTTAATTGCAGGTTTAGGAAGGGATATGGAATAAGCTGGATGGATAAATCTTGAGTGACATTCCATATTTGTAAGGAAAGTTCTGTTGTGGATTTAGCTGAAACATCCAATCTTGCTGAAAAAGACGACGGTAGATTCGATTTCCTTATATATATAACTTTAATTCTGAACTGCGGCAACTTCCAGCATTTACATAGAGCTACATCTTCTAGAAAAATCACTGACTTCTTCGCTGGTCAGGAATCACAAACTAAACAACCATGGCTGACATATGGCCCCTACGCCATCTAGTGGAGAAACACTTAAATGACCAAACATTACAATCTTAACCCAAATTGTATTTAGTTTTCATTCTATTTAGTAAACATATAAACAATATGACTTAACCATATTATAACAATATTCAACAAGTTCGACCAAAAATGGATATGTCATGTTGAGACCACAAATTTAAGTTAAGTTTACATTTATCTAAAATATTCCAACAGTTTAGTTTTTCCAGTGATTTATTGTCTTTGGTGATGTGAACACAAAGATATTTCACGGCAGATTTAACAGGGATGTTATGAATGGCAGTCTGGGAAGAGTCGTGTATCGTCGTGTCTATCATGTAAACATGGCTTCATCCCCATCCAGACAGACATTTTTATGGAAAGCCAATAGAAGTTTGGGGCTTGCAGGGAACAGACACGTCATACCCAGCATCATTACTGCCAGTTGAGTGCATTGCTAGAAGATGTGTGGTTAATACATCCTCTGTGCATTTAAGTAAGACCAAAGAAAAGGTGACGGTAGTCATGCCACTATGCACAGTAGTTGAGCTCTAGGAGACTGTGATCTCTGCAGACCCCTCATTCTAGAAAAATGTCACTTGGGGTAAAACTCCCCCTCCATCCCTGATTTGCATTTGTATAGCTCAAAGCATTCACATTTACATGTTAAAGCCTCCCCTAGAATTCCATGGGGGGGAGGCATGGGGGGAACACTGCCTAAAAAAGCCCACGTCAATTTCTGACAATTTATGGGAGTTTTCGGCGATGCCTTCAAATTACCGTGAACAGCCGTTAACCTGAACTTCCACGACAATCTACAGTGCCGCATACTGACGAAAATCACACTTTTCATGCAGTGAACAGCTTTTTTTTAAGACAGAAAAACTGTCACAAAACACCTTTTAACCATTAAAAACAACAAAGAAACATTCCAGAAGGTGGTCAAAGAAGATATTTTTTAGAAATTGGACTAGATTAAGGGTCTAAATCATGCCAAATTACCTTTTCTGAGCCTTTTTGTGTTGTTCTTTTCTCTCATCATATTTATCCAGAGTGCTATTTTGCTTGATTCATGATGTCTGAGTATTCCTCAGGAAATATGCTCTCTGAGCAGTATCTCCTCTCTATCCAATACGAGTGTCCATCACCATTTTACGTAGAAATGTGATAACCAGCTCACTTCAGGAAGCACCTACCTTGATTGCACAGTTTAGTTGCAGCCTGCCTCTAAATTCAGAACAATTTCTAGTGTTCTTTTTCCCCCTTCAGGAATGGTTTACAGTTTGTTAAAGTAAAATTATATTTTTGTTTGAGACACTCTGTTTATTATCTCCTTTCAATCGATTATTTTAGTGTTGTTATCACCCTTGAGTTTAACATTTCCCTGCCATTCCCTGTTGAAAGTCTTTTCGTTTCTCTTGATTTCATGGGCAATCAGTGAACAGCTATCTTTCGTCATCTAAAAGGACCTAAACACTTTAAGCCACCACGTCCTTTTGACTCAATACAGCTACTGAGGACTGATGAAGACTTTCCTCAACTGGCAGTTGATGCTAGTCAGGCAAAAATGCAGTGGTGTTTCGCTAGCGTAACAAGCTTCAATCTCCCTTCCAACTAATTCTAACAATTCTCTTACCGAACTCTTCGATTATTCCATGTGTAGGAGGACTTTACCTTGTTTTTCTGTTTTTATCTCCACCAGGGAGTGCATTTCCTTTTGTGCTTTGATACATTGGAAAGGGAATGGGGTTATTTAA